GAGGGAGGAGGAGGAGGAGGAGGAGAAGAAGGTCGACACGAAGAGGGAGGTGTTCGATTCCGCTATTGACAATGTCATTTTTCCGGAGGCCAATGATGATAACGAGTCTGAGGGGAAGAGGACGGGTAGGAGGAGGAGAGAACAAGAAGAACCAGCTGCTCAATACCCCTGGCTTCAACTCGACAAATCGCTGCTCACTCTCTATGGCAATATATTACCTGATAATTCTTCCTATCAGGGACGTTATATTCACGCTCTCATCCTCTCTCAGGATGGAAGCACCATCTACTTCGCTCACGACCGGTATGGACACGATAGCCAGATCGCCAAAGCCGTCCAATTGCCTACTCCATCGTCTTTCCCGCCATCTCCATCATCTGGTTCACCTCTCAGTCTGTCCTACAACGTGTCCAATATCCTCAACCAAGAAATCAACATCTCCGGCAGCGGCGTATCCAATCGTGTCACAGGCTTGGAAGTCTTGGAAGATAACGTAACGTTGCTCGTTGGGTATCACCAGAGACAGGAGATCCGCCAGTTATGGGTGGAGGATGGGACAGAGGAGGAGTTCATTGCCGATTCCTCAGCAGCTCAATTTGGCATGGCCAGGCATCCAAAGGAGCTGTCGCTGTTTGTGAGCTCGCCTAATCAGATTCAGAGGATGCCCCTTCAACAAGGGTCTCCCATCGAGTCGTTCACCACGCTAGCTGGGGCTACCGTGGACGGTCGTATCGACGGCATAGGACCCACTGCTCGGTTTGGAGCGAGCGGCCCTAGGATTGTCCCCCGATGCATTTCATCGGACGGCTCCTTCCTCTACGTTGGCGATCGGAGCAATCTTGTCGTCAGGCGAGTGAACTCCTTCACCGGAGAGACGCAAACGGTCAGCTTTGCTAACGGAACACAGGTTGMMATGCCCTTCGGTCCGTTAGCCGCCGTTATAACTTYGGATCATTGCAATCTGTTYGTCACGGGATGGACGAACTACAACAGGCCCACGGGACAGCCGTCAATGGTGCGATGGGTGGCCCTCGACGCGCCACATGGCAATGTCTTGTGGACGCAAGACGTTGTCATCTTCAATCGCACGCGTCCATCCATCTTCGACAACGAGGAATGGACAGGGGTCAACGAGCCATCCCGTCTGTTGCTCAGTCACAAGGACGCAGATTTGTACGTGGCAACGAGTAATGGGGAGATATTCCACTTCGCCATTAACCGCAGCGCTCTGCACAAGTGCGGGCCCATCGATCCTGCTAACCCTCCAGGGTTCGGTCCCCTTCCACGGTACGATCGCCCACCTCCCACCTCGTCCTCCTCCTCCTCCTCCTCCGATGGAATGTCCGTTCTCACGTTGATTGTCGTTTTGTGCGTCATAGCGGTCGCTATCCTAGAAGACTAGAAGACTCTGCTTTCACTCGGAGAGGGACAGCGACGGCGCAAATGCTGCCTCTGCAGCTCATCAGGCTGAGCCCAAGACGCAGCAGCAGCGATGGCTACGTTCATGCATCTTCTTTGGCCGTCCGAATAGCACCCTCTCTGCRAAAGATAWAGCCTGCAGCGTTGATTCCAAGGCCACCACCAGGTCCTCCTCGACGATGACGACATCTCTCTCTCTCCTCCAAGGCGATAGATTAGAGTTAGCGGCCATCTCTATGAAGCTTGACCATCTGGATGCCCCTCGGCCAGTCCCCTTCGCGGACCTGCGGGAGGCGATGGATGGCTTCAGTGATACGCACAAGGTGGTGGGAGCAAGGTGCGGCTTTGGTGACCTATACCGGGCGACCTTGAGGGTGGGAGGTGAAGGGGGGGAGATGGCTGACGTGGCGCTGAAGGTGATGAGGGGTGCGCTAGACGAGCTGAAGAGCAAGCAGTTCCTCTCCGAAGTGACGACACTCAGCCGCGCCCGCCACGTCCATCTCTGCAAGCTCCTCGGCTACTGCGTGGAGGGCAACATGGTCGTCCTTGTCTATCCCTTCGTCGCGGGCGGCAGTTTACACGACCGTCTTCACCCTCGTCCTCTGAGTTGGCCCTCTGCCCAGGCCCCCCTGCCTTCTCCTCCTACTCCAGTACAACACCCTCCTCTTTGTGCTCCCTTGGGTTGGCGGTCGCGACTGTCCGTTGCGCTCCAGATCGGGACTGCATTAAGGTACCTCCACGAGGAGTTGGACCCCCCGCTCTTGCATCGGGACGTCAAGAGCAGCAATGTCCTCGTCGAGGGGTCCGGAGAGGCGGCCAAGGCCTATCTGACCGACTTCGGCCTCGCGAGGCTTGGCAACSCCAGCTCAGGCTTGAAAAGGGGTCGGGATACCGTGCAGACAGCATTTCGAGCAGGCACGATTGGGTACATGGCCCCCGAGTATGCCATTGAGCTGAAACTCACGGCCAAAAATGACGTCTATGCCTTCGGTGTGATTCTGCTGGAGATGGTCCGCCATGGAGGCCGCAGCCCTTAGGCTGCGCTATACCTCGTCGATTTGACGTAGGAGCGAACGGTCGTTGTGCACCGACCGGTCAGGAGGGTAGTTGGGAGGCCGGGCAAAGTCGAAGAGGGCTCAAAAGAGGGTTTGGATGTGGTCGCCGTCAAAAAGCCCAGGGCATGGCCTTCTTTTTCTTGTTCAAATGCCCCGACCGGTCTGTCCAGTATTCGGGGTTTKGGGGGGCGATGCTGAAGGCTCCGTGTTTTCGGCAGATGTGGTTGGCTAATTTTTTATTTTCTTT